GCAAGAACGGAGACTGTTATGGCGCTGGTAAGGAATAGCCCTTTTGAAATAATTTCCTTTATAAATCAGCAGCCATATGTTTAAACGGCAGTTTGCTACTTTAGTACACGGGGCTCATCTAATTCCGGGACTTTTTCACTCCGGCAATTTAAAACAGTTTCAACATACTTCATTTCATTTAATAATGCTTAAATGTACAAATATATTCAAGGAGGTAACTTTAAATAAATTTAGCATTTAGGTACTCACTTGCGACTTTGGTGATAAAAGTAAGAAGAGTGGTGATGAAACTGATAAAGCAATAATAAGTGTAAGAGGCAATAAGTGGATGAAAGAAGAATATAATAATAATATATTATGATGAGGGAAGTAAAGTTATGTACGATGCCGATGAATTCGTGTAACCCCTTGAGACTAACACATGGAGAATGATTTGGTGCATGTACTCGCCGGTGGCTGGAGATGTAGTAATTTGTCGGCTTGGGCAGAAGGCTGGTTCCTAGCTGATAACAGGACTGGTCCATTCTCGTCTGATTTGAGCGCCTCAGTCGCCCATTGCCCTTTCCCGCCTCCACTTACAAACATCCTATCGCGATTCACGTCGTGTAAGACGTCCTCACTCCACTATCGCCTACACCACGATCATCACCTATTTCGCTCTACGTCCCCATTTGTGCTTCCCATTTACGTTTTTGGGGCTGGAGCTTTATTTTTCACTTTACTTTTTGCCCTACGGTTTTATGAGATCGCAAGTGAGGAGGTGTTACAATTTCAATTAAATATTTTTAGGAAAAAAATTTTCATGTATAGCCTTATTCGCTCAATTTCAAATCGAGAAATAATCGAATACATCAAATCCTTTGATGAAAACATTAATATTGGTTTCAGAAAATATTTTCATGGATTTTAAGATGGTTTATTAATTTTTATCGCTCGAAAGTATTCAATTGATAAACATGTAAGTGATTAAATGTTATCTTTAAAATAAAAAAAAAGTTTAACCCAATTCATAAAAATAAAAAGTTTTTTTTATTCTTAAAATGTTGATTGTAGGAATTCTGAACAAAAGATGTGTTCTGAAACAATGTAACGGCGCAAACTGGATGATTGGCTTGTGTTAAACAAAGTTGCTTCCCTAATCTTGTTACGGTCTTACTTGTTTCCAAATTCACAGTTGTACGCGCACTACTCTACTAATGTAATGTACTGAATTCGCGCACGTTTCCCAATCAGTTTAGCATTAACGTCGAAAAGTTATAATTACTGAGTGTGTTGAGAATAACCATTAGTGTTGTTCCGTTTCAAAAACCCTTACCGCTCAATTCTCAAATTCGTTTCTTCTCTTCAATCCAATTAAATTCAATAGACACGGCTCATGTTTCATTAACCACGTCCGGTTTTCAATACCGCGGATTTCAGATTTGATTTTAAACAATTGATGGAACAACCTCTTCATTATTTCACACAAATGCACTTAATTTACATATTAATCATCAAATTTTGAGAATAACGCACTTGTACGGTTAGTTATATTAAACTCTAAAAAAAACGTAAAGGTTTAAATTATCAAAATAGGTTTTCAGCTATAAATAATTTGTTCGAGATGTTAATATAACTGACAGTTTGAAGTATTTTGAAATTTTCAATAAACGCTTTGATCTTTTCAACCTGATAATATTTCGTTATTATAAATATATTATTATAAAACATTTCTCGAATTCGAGACGAATTAATAAATTATTTGTAACATTTACCTTAGTTAAAGACAAATTCGATTTTATAATAGTTATTCTGCAGATCGAAAAGCGAGCTCTTAAAATAAGCTATTCATCTCAAGCGATTGTATTCAAATTAATAATTTAATAAGCATTTCTGTGTAAAATTGTTAAAGCTTATTTTCATCAATCTAAAATTATTATCAAGCTGCAATTCTGAATTATTAATTACAAATTACGCTTGCTAAAATAATGTCTCTTAATTTACTAATATAACCCAGTCGGAACATAATATTATGTTACTACATATGCTCATCAAAATGAACAAATAATAATGTTAAAATTGACAAATTATTCAGAACTTTATAAATAATTAAATTATTTTCTGGATTCCAAAATTAATAAAACCTATTTCTTTAGTTGGATATATCAAATAAATTTTGACATTTACAAAAAAAATTGCATCAATATTTTTTTTTAATTTCAACAAATCAAATTTTTTGACAAATTCTCTATAATAATTCAATTTCAAAAGATCCTAAAAATTAAAAAGTATTTAATTTCATTCAATTAAACGTAGTATTGTTTATAATGTACTATTTTTTACTTTTAATTTTAGGATTTATCAGCAGGATTAGGTTGAATTAATTAAAACTCAAAGTTTCTATAAAATATTTATCTCTAATTTTGAGCTATCAAAGTTCTAAAATATTTTAAATCCGTCAAGTGAATAAATAATAACCCGTCACCAACACAAAATATATGAGTATTAGTATAAGTATATTTACCCTTGCAGGACAATTCGAGACGGCATTGTCCTTCTCACATATCTGTTATCATCGGTATTTTCACTATTTCTACTTCTATCTAAGCCCGGGTACTAGTAAACTGCCAAACTCTGCCGAGGGCAGTCATCCAGACTACTACCCTTCATTACCACTCCGATTTAACTCAGTAGAACTACTACAACCATTACTACCACTTCTATTGCTATTGCTTTTACTATTACCAACACACTCACACTCTCAGTGAATTTATCTGAAATTACTTAAGAACTAAATTTATTTTTCAAATATTACAATATTGAGTCTTGAAAATTATTACACCAATAATGTTTAATTAACCTGATAAAAGCTAATCAATTTCGATTTCGAAGAATTTAATTTGAATTGATGAAGGATTTTGGTTGAGCGAGTGTCTGGACGAAAGAGAGCTGAGGGAGAAGGTAAAGGTCTATAGAGAGGGCGAATATATAGGTATGGGCTTTGCAAATTCGGCATGTCAAACTCCAGCAGGGAGACAGTCATCTACAGAGTAGTCATGTGTATTCACTGTATCAGCAATACGGCAAACCTTGTCAACTACAGAGTATCCAAGACCAACAATCTAACTTGCCTTTATATTTCACAAAGACCACTTCGGGCATTCTACTTCTCTGCTCTCTAATTGATTCACTTCTTCCAATATCTCAGATGTTTAATTGCCGTTCATTGATTCACGTTTCGAGAACTATTAACATTCAATATTTACCGAACTCTCTTTAAATATACCGGGCTTCTATTTGTGTTCAATTTCTCTCGACAGTCATCTCAAGTGCCTCCTTCAGCAAGTGAGGGGCTGAAGCTAGTCAACTTCCCTCACGATTGACCCAGTCGGAAAATAATATCCAGGAAATGGAGTAACATATCTTTATTAGATTTTTTTCCTAGTTTAAGAAAATTTATACATTTTTAAATCTACATTGATTGAAAAATTAACTTGAGTCAAGAAAAATAATTTTTAAGAAATAGATCATCTTGAATAAAGTAAAATTTTTTTGAACCAACAATTTTTTAGTTCAAGAATTTTTCTACTTAACTCATAAAAAATAATGTTCTGATTTTAAATGATTTTTCAGCAAATATTTCGTAAATAAAAATAAATAATTGATTATTGTGTCCCAGTCTTATAATTATAAATATAAAATAATTTCTCTTAATTATGTACAATTATATAAAATTATATATACTTGTATACAATTATCCTTATTAATTCAGAGGCTTAAATAAGATTGTATTAAATGACATCCATCTTTATGAATGAATTGACACAATAAGGTCACTAAATATTAAAATAATTTATGATTATTGAATGATTTTAAGGAATAGTTGCTTTGTCGCTTAAGATGAATGACACTAAAAGCTTCGTATCTGGGACACAGAATTCTCCTTAAAATTTCAGATATCTTCAATATCATAGTATTGAAAAACAGTTTAATTATAAATTATATTACCTTAAAAATAATGAATGACTATTGTCAAATCGATTTAAAAGAAAAAGATGAATAATTCCTATGCAGAACATCTCGATTTAGAAAACATTGATGTTAATATGCTTTTGAACGCTACTAGATCATATGAATGGTTCAATTTTCAGCTGAATTTTCTGTTCTATCTTAAATGTTTTAAGTACACTGATAGAAGGATTTCTTAACATTTAAGAAGATTTCTTTGTATTTAAGAGAAATATTTTTTAAATACTAAGAAATGATGTTTAAGAAATGATTTCTTAAATACAAAAAAATCTTCTTAAATGTTAAGAAATCCTTCTATCAGTGTATAAATCAAAAAATAAAAATTTCGGATTATTTCTTAATGCCAAAAGAATAATTTTTGGCACAATTGATACCCCAATTTTCTCGATATTAAGAGAGACGGTAAACTGGGGCAAGCAAAGACTCAACTCAGTAAATTGTTGACTAATTATTTGTAAAAGTTTATCGAGTTGGAAGTTGTCGGACTTTTTCAGCCGATACGAATGGAACGAGAGTCTATATTTATCTAGCTCGGGGTGTATATAAGACTATTGAACTTTAGACAACAAGTTGCTGCAGCAGCTGACCCACCGGATGTTAAATCATGGCTGTATACTAAGTATACAATACTGTCGCCTCGAGTATTTTGGTAACTTATTAAAACTTGTTTGCTCATTTGGTTACACTGATTTTTTAATTAGTTTACAATTTTAGTCCTCGCAATAATTCGCTATATTTATCTAAAAAAGTTTTTACTAAAAAATACTTCAACTGAGTAGCCCCTTATCGGAGGTGTATTTCTGCAGTAGGTAGTTTTACTCAAAGAGATTCATGATTACCGACCATGCCCTTTCTACTCAGAGTTGCTTTCCTGTTTGATCAATATTCGCCTAACTTCTGACGATTCAGTTCAACTGACAATTCCAGGCAGCGTATCAGTAAACAGACCAACTGGGTTAATTTTTTTTTTCATTCTAAATTGTGACGTATAAATGTGGGGTCAAGTTAAACGCAAGTCTAATATTATCCAACCAAAGAAAATGAGAGTTGTTCCGCTAACGAAGTGAGTATTTTTTACATTTTTTGGTTACGTCTAAATTTATTTTTCTGGTTAATGATTTGAAGAAAATTTATTCAACAAAACCTTCAATAGCAGAAAAATGAAGAAGATAAGATATTTTATGATTTGCTAAATTTCAGAATTATTTTTAATCAAATATTATCAATTATAATTTATAATAACCTATATCGATTTTCACTCTAGGGATTCTTTTGATAATATTTTTATACTAATATTTGAAGCATTCTTCATGAAAAAAATTGATTTTAAAAATAAATATATCATTTATAATTTGGATTCCTAAATTTATATTTTTAAATTCGTAATAATTTGACGGCTGTCGTAAAAAAAATCAAATTTTTCTATCATCCACTACAACACTCTCCAATAAATGATTTCCTCTAAAATGTTTACATCTTTCATAATACATATTTCAAAGAAGGGTATCAAAAATTCATAATTTCCGACCGAAGAAAGATCAAACTGACATTATTAAATATTTGAAGGTGGGAGCTGCCAATCGAAGACTCAACGTCTTATTGGGACCAAATAATCGGAAATATAGAGAGACAGGCTTCTAAAGTAAGAAAACCATTATCACCGTCCATCTCTCCATGATCTTCGACCTTTCCCTTAGAGAGCAGTACCAGCAATGACGTCACTGACGACGAAAGCTCTGGTCACTCTAGTGTCGAACCCGAAGCTACCAACGAACCGGTTTTCAAAATATCTCCACCCTCACCCACGAACGAGGAGACCAGGTTTACAAATAATTCGAAAGACACCTCGGAAGTTGCTAGGAAGTCTTCACATATTTTATCTCCAGTTGATAACAAAGCAGTCAAGCTTATTTTTGACACCGACGATGACCATTACGAACCTGTCAATTCAAAGCGTGAAACGGAGGAAAATATCACTGAACAAACTATGCTCAGCAGTCAGATCAGTAGTCGCGATAATCTAGAGCTAAGTTCATTTTCGCTGACCAAACTAGCGCAGATGACAAAAATATCAGAATGTGTAAATGAATTTTTGAAAACTACTAGGGTTAAAGTCACCGCAAAATCAATTTCTAGGAACTCTGTTATGCCTCTTCAAGGTACTTTAAGTTGCGACAGTGTCAATGCTGTTCCTATATCGGCAGAAAGTCCTCAATTTCTTGAAAGACGAAAAGACCAATCAGATATTGACGAATTCGTTGAAGAAAAATCTGATCAAAAGGAAAACAAAGGAATTTTTGAAAATGAAGATTCAAAAATTGACGAAGGAGGCTACGAAATTATTGACTTTGTCCAAAAACGAGTTTGTTTCTTCGACACCAAAGATGACGAAGACAATGTTGACATTGAATACCGCCGAACACCGCGACGAAGAGCTCCAAGTATCGCAGTAGCAAGTTCAGTTCCCAGTTTTGGACGGATCGTTTCGTCTTTTGAATCGACAGATTCCCTCGAAAACTTTCTGCTGAATGCAAGCTCCACCGATAATAACATCCCATTGATTCGGTTGGAAACGGAAAAAAAAGAAGAGAAGCTGAAAGTAAACTTTTTAAACATTCCTGATGTTAAAAAACCAACCGCGGGTTTTTATCCGCGAGTTAAACACCAGGATGAACCTGAAAGGAAAGTGGGATTCATGAAAGCGTATGAAGCCAAGGGAGTGCGATACTCGAGGAAATTGGGACAATGGCCGAAAAAATCAATCGTTCATATTCTGCGAGCGTTGAAATTGATGAAAACTCGTGATAAGAATAAAAGAAAGGCTGCAATAGACCGAGGTAAATTTTCAGGCGGTTTGATTGTACAAGAGTCATCTTGCTCGAGTGTTGATCATGATCTGACTGATCGGTCACTGGATTCACGGTCTGATGTTCCGCTGAGTGATAAGTCTAGTTCGACGTCTTCATGTTCGTACTCGAGTGTCAAGAAAAGATTGATCAAGAATTCGTTTGCTTTCCAAGAAAAAACCTCGGAAGTTATTGAAACTGTGAATAAGACAGTGCAGCTTTATAATTCGGGGATCGATGATCATGAGCCAATTAATAAGAGTGAGATCTGTCTGCAAAAAATACCGAAGATTGGAGGAATGTACCCGCGAAGAAAGAGCGATAAGTGTTTGGCATGTCTGCACCTTTCAGTCACTAAAAATCCAGCTTGTCTGGATGAGTTAGCGAATTTTAACGACCAAGTCAACAAACCAGCTTCCCCCACGTCTGAGGAGCTGATAATCGATGAACTGAGTCATATCCTGCGAAAAGATTTCTCGTTCTTTAGAGATGATTTTAATTCAGAGCGAACTAGCAATGTTGAGTGCTCGGATATTCAATCGGAATTATTTGAGGATAACAGAGCGGATGACAAGCCGGAAAGTTTCAGAATAAATTTATCAGTCTTGGAACCGAAGAACCGCGAACAAATTGAGAACTGCTCGTCATCAAATTTAACGGAATTCAAGAAACCGGAATTAGTTAACGACAAGAAAAGCGTTGTGTCTTCAAAATCTTACATGTCAACACTGTCGTTAACCTCAGATCGGTCAAAAACAACATCCGACATGGAGGACTCGGATCAAGCAGCAGATGAGGGTGGAATGGAGGAAGGAATTGGTGAATCAAAATCGGGATTACTGGCGCCCTGCCATGCGCCTTTGAATCTTCGACCCAGTCTTGAGCCTCTGAAAGCACTTCGCAGTAAGAAAGCACGCTCGATACAATCCCGAATGGCATCGCTTGAAAAGTCAACAAACATTGAGAGCGATGATAAAACCGAGGAAGAGGATATTCCGACAACCACTGCCAAAATTAACGACAACAATAAGACCGCCGAGGATAAAACCGCTTACAAGGGAAATGACAATCAGGCGAACCATGATTTTGCTACAATGGAGAATAATAAGTATCTGGGGGCAGATTACTGCGAAGAACCAGGAGAATTTGCAGACGTGATCGACAAATTCAAATCCAGATTCAAAGATGAATTCTTCAGGCGGCTGGTGATTAATCAAATCGAGGAAACCATTTGCGGGTCGAATTCTAGCTTAGAGATTTCTGTTGATGAGATTTTCGATAAGCTTAATGTGTCTGATGAAATGTTAGAACACGATCCCAGCGATTCTTTCCGAGTCTTCACGCCAATCATTGCCGATTCGGAGGTTCTTGAAATTTTTTTGGATCTGCTGCTAGAACGTACAGACAGAGGGCCCACTTTTGAGGAAATAATGAGTCATCTGTCGAGTGTCTTTGCGAAACGGTTGGAAAAACAGGGTCGAAAGACTAGGGAGACTTTGAGGGCCGAAAAAGCGACGAAGCGTCTGCTGGCACTGCTCGTTAACTCAAAACAGTATGTAGGTAATCGTAGTAAAACTTTTGACAATGACTTACCCTGTAAACAGCGAGCTCCCATAAACTTCCGACAGTTGAGACGAGTCCTTCCCGTTCAGTCGTATAACTTAATAGCACCCATCCTGGGAATCCCATCCTGGCACCCAAAGCACTGGACCTCAATAAAGGACGCGCGTAAACTCAAGATTGCCACGAAAACCTCGGCCAGCAAGGTTAAGAGCCAGCCTAGTGTCAGGTTTTCGCACCGCCAAGAATCTGAAATAGAATTTGATTTAGTGGTGAGTAGAGTAGAAAGAATTGAAAAATGTAAAGTTGTTTTTTTGTAATTGAAGGATTTTATAAGGTCCATCCACCTTCATTAAGGGAATCCCCGGTGGAGGATGACTTGGAGTCTCACAAGAAACAGATGAATCCATATGTTTCCTTTCTACTCAAGCCTAGGAGAAAGGTTTGATCAATTTTTTTATTTCATAGAAAAATTTTGATTATTAGTTATTAAGTATTGATTATTATTACTATGGGTATTGCTTGCATCTAGGCGGTGATTTGGCGACCTCTGACGGAAAGCGACCTCGAAGGATACGACCCCGACGCGACGCTCAATAAACGCGCGGGAAAAGTTACCGACAGTATCTGCGCTGAATTTTGCCAATGGCTGAGAAATCTCGGAGGTTTTGATACTACTGTTGATGAACAAGTGCTCAAGGATATGTTTGAAACTGATTTCACTGTAGATATCTCTAAGGTCATGCAGGTAAGTTGTGTGGTCGAAAATTTTCTTATTAGAATGGTCATTAATGTCTAAATCAAATTTTCCTTCAACTTAAAATGTAAATTTTTTTCCAAAAAAACGAATTAGAAGAAAATCTAACAAATATCAGTTGCTGTATTTTGATATCAGGCAGTCAAATTTTTTTTTCATTTTACTGAACATTTTCAAGAGTTTTATTTTAGAAAATTTTTTTCACAATAATTTTTCAGACAAAATAATTGGAAACTCTAATAAAGGTTAATCTGCAAACTTTCCTTGCAGATGTCGCAAAAAGAATTGCCTGTGGTACCATCAGCCGTCGCGCAGATTAGAAACTGCCCTGAAGCAGGGGAGCTGGAGAAAACGAGGTGGCATTTGGTGGGTGACGCTAAAGCAGAGACCAGAAAAACTAGACTCGTAGGGTTTGGATCTACATTACCAAGACACTTGAAGTACGTACCGCCTAATAATAAAGTGGAAGTCAACTGGTTAGTTTGCGAACACATTCCCCACGATTTGGAGTCCATGGAAACTGTCTGGAAGGGAATCACTCACCTGGACAGCGTCAAAGGATTCGTCAACTGGCTGAATACCAATTCAGAGGTTAATAAAAAATTTATTTATTCAAGTGAAATTAAATCAAATGAATTTATGTAAAAATTGATTTTTAGGTGAAACCTCTGGAAATTTTGGAATCGGAAATAAATTTCAAGCTCAATTAATAAATAAAAATCAATAATATAAAATTTTAATCTAAATTTAAAATGTTAAGATTAAGATTGAAATTCCAGTGTAACTATTTTTACTCGAAAATAAATTTTCTGCATTTTTTCTAATTAAAAAAGGAAATACTAAAAGAAAGTGTAGCGGAAGAGTGTTTGAATCAAGAGCATTTCTTAATTTTACAAATGAGGATAGCTGAGTTCACGCGTCGACAGCTCGCTTGTAACCAGGCTCTGGCTGTGACAGAGGCTGGGATTTCTGTCACCAGCAACAGCATCATAAGGATGCGATCATCGAAACGGTCTTATTTAAGATTCACCTCTGCTCCATTTCTCATCGTCTTAACAATCTTTTCAGCTCTAGCTTCCATTTATTTTTAAAAACTTACAATATATTATATTTTACATTACTTTTGCTTTTATTTAAAACGTCAATAACCTTTCTATCCCTTAAAAGTCGCGATACAATAAACTGTTCTTATAATTTAAAGCTTGCTTCATTAAATACCAATTCAATGATCTCTTATTGAATTCTCTCCATAAATTTTCAAATAAACAATTTATTTATCACAAGAAATGTAGAAGCGTTAAATAGTGATAAAATTATCCTCGCATACTGTCAAGCTAAATAATTAAGTCTCACTGACTTGTCCAAGTGTCATATCAACGTCGACGTGTAGAAGTGTAACTACAAGTTTTACCATAGATTTTCACCATCAGTGAGTTTTCCGTCAGCCGAGTTACTTTTTTCTTCTTCTCTTTATTATTTTCAGCTCTTCTATTTTTGTTTAGACTTGAACTTTTGTTTTTATTTTTCACCGCGCGGCCACCTCTTACATACTTTTTGTTCTTGCAGTAACTACAGTGACTGCCTCCGCTGGCCTAAGAGTAACGGATTACTTTTTACTCACTTTCATACCAACGTGAAAAACATAATCGAGCTGAAAATAATAAAAAAAAATTGGAAAGTAAAAAACCTGGAGGTTTTCAATTTTTATACTGGGTAGTAAAATCTCCGACTTAGTAAATTTATCCGTCGAATATCGAGTTTTCAAGCCGATACACATAGCTTTTAAGAAAGTGCTGTAAAGCCAATCCGCGAAATTAATTTCCTTGCTTCCTCGTGTTTATATTGTACAGAGCTGATTAAATTGCTGAGAGCTGCAACAGGTTCTGCGGAATTCAATGTTCGATACTAACCAGATGGAAAAAATACAGAAATATACTGTGTGCTACAACTTTTATTTAATACGAGTTATTGACCCAAGGTAAAAATCTTTTGAGCTTAGGGACAGAAAATTCAAGACAAAAAATTCTTGAAACATACTGCGGATTATCAAAATAACTATTGTTTTCAAATAGTTCTCTTGAATTAGAATAGTTTTTCTATTCACCTATTTTTGTTATCTACTAAAAATTCAAATTACGCGCTGTACGCGCGCACTCTAACTTCGGTTCAATCATCAATTTTATATTATAGTATTCGATAAATTTTTACTATTACATTGATTTTATTAATTCTAAAAATTGTTGGTTGTCTTGAAAAGTAGTTTTTTGAAATATTGTAATTTTAATTATGTCCCACGTTTTCAAAAGTGAAGCTCCGAACCTCCATCTGCCATTAATTTCAATCTCGCTCTCTCTTGCTGGGACAACTGTAAATTATTATTAAGGAAGTCCACGCGTACGTGAGGTAAATGTGATGTAATATTCTTCATTTGACAAATGGAATTAACGTGATTAATTATTCGACGATTTTTCTCACATGAAAGTAGTAAATTTTATTCATAGCAACAAAATTATTATCGGCATTGATAATTAAATCGTTAATTTGGAAAAAAATGATCAATCATAAAATGAAAATGATCTTTATATCTATAAATGTACGGCACAATAGTAAATAGGATTCTCCAGAAGTAGTGGCTCTTATTGTAACCATAATGACGGGCGATAGAGATAACCAAATGTACATAGATACTTTTTGTTAGGTGCAGAGTAATGCCAGTGCACATCCTCAATCCGCTTTGCGTTGCTGCCACTTCGACTTCCACATCCGGTCTAACCCGGAAAGCCGCTCCCGTGTACACACATCTGACTGCTACTATACTACACAACTAAATCCATTCATTCTATTCCATTCGTTAGCTAGGCTCTCTGATTTATTGTAAGCTACACACAACACAACAACAAACTACTCAACTCTCAGTTGCCGGATAATGCGCATTTACAGATTACATTGCTCAGAGTGAACAAATAAAATAAACCCCGAATGGGACCAGAATGGCCGAGTAGACCCACTGGCTTGCGATCCTACAGGCGCGGCCAATCAGTCTCACGGTGAACTTTGTCATCGTCACTTTTGCGATCTACTAGTTCAACCGAATTTACTAAATCAATCGACCTTTGGTTACATTGTTGTTTCAATTATTTGGTGAACACTATTTCTCATGTGTTAGTTTCATAGAAAATTTTTAAATCAAAATTCTAAGTGAAATATTTAATTAGAAGTGACTAATTTAAAGTGTCGAAGAAAAAATTCTGTAATGAAAACTATTTTGGTTAGAAAAATTATTTTTCCAAGTATGAAATTATTTTAAAGACAATTTTGTATTTAATAGTCTTATTTTGAGAATTTTTCCTCGTCTTGAATTTCAACTTCTTGGTTTAGAAATCTTTATATAAGATCGATAAGTATTTTTGATGTAAAAAATTCTTTAGCTCGAAAATTAAATATGACTTTTTTTTTTTTAATTTTAGATTTTTGGATAAAAAAAAATTTCTCATTTAAAATACTAAAAAAATCTCCTGAAAAATGAAAATGTGACTTGAATATTCAAGAATTTTTTTTTTTGCTTTATTGTAATTTTTTTATCTAAGAATTTGATTTATAAATTCAAGAATAAATTTCTTGAAATTAAAAAAAAAAATATTTTCCTGAATAAAGTAGTTTTTTTCAGTGCAATAATAGCAATAATATACATCTGCATAATCGGTGAGTAGTGAGTTTCCCTCTTTTCGCGAAGTAACATCAGTAAATGTGTAAAGAATAATGATAAAGGAAAGCAAGTTCATTTCGGCGAATAATTTCTTGTAACTTAACCCTTTGAGTTGGTGGAAAAGGTTCCGGGCGTGGATAGGAGCGAAGAGTAGTAGGAAATTAAATGAAATGAAAACGGTTATGTGTAAAACGAGAAACAGAGACAAAGAAGACGGTGGAGGAAAAGAGAGTGAGAAGAATAATATAAGTGAATGGAACAGAAATGAGGTACATACTTGTGAGTTGTCGGTTAGTTAGAGCGACAAACGTTCGGCGCACGCGACTCGATCGCATGTGACCGCAACCCCCTGTGGCGAAATCGCACGGGCAATTAGACAAACGGACGGGCGCCAAGTGGTGCACTTTCGCTCAGTTAAGCACCCTCATCGCGATGCTTTCATTGTGCTTTTTATAACCTTTTTTTAACGTTTATTCGTGTACGCCGTACGGTGTCCGAGTAAAGGGAATCGTCGGGGCTAAAACAAAACAATTTGTTTGGTGTTTCGTGTAATTTTACCGGCAATTCCCGTTCTCTGGTGAATCATACTCATTATCTCTGTATTTTCTTACGGGTGTCCTGTAAGTATCATTTAATATTGCGAATAGTAATCAATTGATAATAATTAATATAACAATTAATTTATGATATTTATTATTTAAATGTTTCAATTTAATAATTATACAGAAAAAGTAGCATTTAAAACTGTAATAAAAATTTTGTAAGTGTCGAAAAAGTTTAAATATAATAATTAATAATTCCAACTTCAATCTTTATTATTTTGTATGTAAAAAATTATCGTATAACTTATAAAAAATATTTTAAAAAATTATTAAATTTTTGTAGTCAGAATTTTTCGATTTTATCGTAGCCAACGTCAAGATTTACCGAGTGAAATAATAAATTTTAAACGCAACGATAAAAAAAAATATAATTATTGACTTAACGCTTTTTTCAATATTAAATTATAAATGTTGGCTTTTATACTTTTTGACATAATGTTTAGTAATATTTAATCAAAATCTGAATAAATTTTACTATTAAATTTTCTGTGTACTATTAATAAAATAGAATAAATAAATATCACCGAATTAATGGCTTACGTTAATTATTTTGAGAGGTGAATGATGGGACGAATGAAGAGGGAATTTTTGGTGGTTTACTCTGGAGCGATGGAGATATAACGGGGGATAAAAAGTGGTACATATGTAAAGAAAGTAAAGAACGGGGATGAGAGCACATATGTACGAAAGAAGGAGAAAGAGGAGGAGGAGGAGGTAGCTGGTGCAGATACGCAGGTAAAAGCTGGCTTTTACTGGGGATATGTACGGCAGAGGCAGATGTATGTGCGGGAACGTGTTGGAATATGTAATTTACACAGTACAGGTAGACGACGCGGTCAAAGGATTTACTTTGCCTGCGAGTTTCCGAGTTGAGTTTAAAGGAGAAAGGAGACGAACGCAAAAGAGCTCTTACATTTCAACACTCAGAAAGGCTTCGCTCAATCCCTCGGTGACACTGAAAGTACTAGTACCAGTACTAGTTGTTTGACTAGTGAAATAGCTCCTCCACAATACTATCATAGATTCATAGCCGTTTCAGTGGAATAGCTTGTCTGTTTGCTGAAAAACTTTCGCTCCTGAAATAACTACCCTTTAAATTGTATTTTTTTAAGCTCTTCAACGTTCTTCTAATTTTTCTGTTTTCAAGTTCGCGGATGTCTTTTATTGGTAAAAATAAGTTATGTGAGGTCAGACATTCATTCGTGGTCATGTTTCAACTTAAATGATCAAGTGTGGACTTATTTGTTCGTATGATTGCTGTAAAATTTCTTAGTAGATTATAAATAATTTTCATTAATTAATAAAATAATAATCATCAATTGCTATTGATATAGACATAAGATTTCTTATGACATATAAGGTTGAATATGATCATTTCTAGTGTCATAAATGATGTCACATA